TTGTCCCTCTTAGAAATTTTTTAACTGAAGAATTATGCAGGAAAAAGGTAAATCCAGGTCATTCTCACTCCAACAATCCCCAGCAGCTGCTATAGCCCCTGAAGTGACAGTAGTCAGCCTTGAAATTTCTACAGCTATGTAATATGGCTGGAAGCAATACCATTGAGCATACAGTTGGTATCATATAAATTAATACAGTGTAAATTTTGCTACTTTGCTGCTCACCCCAGTGAACTCATTCTTTCCCTTTCAAAGAGTAGCTGTGCTGATCAATAACTAGAAAATCTGTTAGAACCAGAGAAAATTGTTTGCCTTGTGAAAACTGGTTCTCTCCTGTAAACATTTGCTTTTAAATAGCATGGACTGCAGCTGCACCCTAGATTGAGCAAGCCAGCAGAAATGGCTCACCCTAGCTTGACTTGAAAGGGGCAGTCACTTCTGCTTCTATCAATCAGCCTAAAACTTGACCCCTGTCCCACCCAACTTATGGCCAATGCCAAGGGACTGCAGGATCATTAAGCAATGCTGAATGGACAAGTCCTAAAGCAAAGCAGAGGGACAGTCAATTGTAGGCGGAATGCAGCAGATTTATATCCACTAGGTGAAAGAAAAATGACTCCTAAGTGGGCTGGGGCAGCTGTGAAACTGGTCTGCCATAAGCAAGGATGAAGCATGGGAATCTCTGAGAAGAGCCTTTTTGCTTTCCAGCTCTAAAAGCAATTACCATAGATAAGAGCAAGTTCCTGACAGGGCAGGCAAACTGACAGGGCTCAATTCTTAAACAGCAATCTGATCCCAGGGGAGCTTCCAGGTCACTTACAGACCTACCATCACAGTATCTTTACTGACTGAAAATATGACAACGGAGTAAGAGTGGGAGAGACTGTCCCTTCAAATAAACTGATATTGCCAGAAAGAGAGGGATTAAAGAGAGGATTCCATGTGGAAATTACTGTTCTCGATGCAGGTATCAGGAAAAAGCAATATAGTCAAGGTTGGTAAGAGTGAGCTGCAGTTCTACAAATCAGAAAGTAAAACTCTCGGGCATTTAAATTTTTAATTGAATCCCCTTTTGTTGTGCTAGATCTGATTGTGATTAGTGTTTTGTAGTTAATTTCACGGATCAGAACAGTGGTTCTATAATCTGCTAAACACAATTCTGTAAGGCCTAAAGCTGTATTACATTTTTGCTGTAAGCACAAATTAATATAATTTTTTTAATAAAAGATGAAATAATAACATATTACATTGTGTGGGGAGGCAACTATTTGGTCTAGTGGTAGGCACTGGTTTATTAAAAAAAAAAAAATCAGACAAAAGATCAAGGTTAAAGTGAGACTGGAGAAAATACAATATCTTTCACTTCTCTAAAAGAAAGTTTTGAACTGTGTGACCCATGAGCCATGACAGAGAGCAAAAACTGAGAAGATAGAGCAGAGCAAGAAGCTGGACACTGGAGCATGGAAAGATGTATGTTTATTATTACTTAGAGAGACAGGTGAAAACAATGGGTAAGTGAACAAGTGAGAACAAAAATCTAGAAGATGAGGTTAAAGCTGAAGTGAAGGCAGATGGCCATGCTGCAAGAAGGGAAAATAAAGAAACTCTACTTGTGAAAAAATATATACCAATAATATAAGTTTACAAAAAGAAGCCAACACAAATAAAACTTTTAGTATGTGGATGGCTGGATACAAAACTATCAAAGTTTTACTCAACAGGGAAATGGTTAAAGGCATCATGTGACAACTCCTCTATTGCCTGTATAGTTTCTTGGATTAGGCTAGCTTAGTGCAAAGTACAGGCAAGCTAAGGCATGCATGGCTGCATCATCATCACCAGGGGTAACCTAGACAGCACCAATAAGTACAAATACTTGAGCTTTCCTTGATCTAGCATTAACCAATTTCAGATCCATCTGTTCCACTTTGGATTGCAGCCTGGATGTTTCATGTTAACTTCATACGCTTCTAAATTGCCATCAGTTGTATCTCCTATTAAATAATGTTCATAATTCAATAACCATCTGGACAGAACAAGGGCAGTGTTCTCCTCACTAATTTTAAGACTACTTAGAGAATGAGGCATAGAAGACCTGATCCCATGCCCCTAAATTCACTCCTAGGTTTAAAGAACACTACTTACAGCATCTTTCTGTGCCCAAATTAGCAGAGAAACATATTCAAACTAGATAGAAATGTGCTTTAAGCAAACAAAGGCTTGCAAGCCAATTTTTTTTTTAATATAAGCAATTTCATGACCTTCAGAGCCCTTTTCCTAAGTAATGGAAATTTGAGGTTATAAAGGACAAATCTGGTTTGCAATAAAAAAATGGGAGGTAAGGAACTGATTTAAGGAGATAGGATTTGATCCAGTGAGTTAGTGGGAAAACAAAACAGTCTAGGTTCTCTTTATGATTTACTCTGAACCTGTAGAGCCATCTCCATTTCAATTCCCCTCATTAAGGAGTTTTCTCATTCTCAGTTTCTCTCATTAAAGATATAAAGTTTAAAAGGTGTCAACTAACTGGAAGAAATTGTGTTTGTACAGTGAATTGAAATCTAGCAGCCTCAAGTTTTGCCCTCAATTACATCCACACGAACATATTTGTAACTTTGGTACTAATTGCAAGTACAGATGGTATCAAAGTCATTTATTTGCAGCTCTTGGGATTTATCAAAAGAACAAAGGTAAAGTGGCAGGCTGAATTGACAACTCTTGGTTTACTCATGTGTGTTATCACTGATCACCAGCAGAAATAAGCTTGAATTTTGTGCTACTGAATGAAGTCATCCTAGCACTGAGCTGGAAACAAAGCAGGAATTGTTTCCAGATTTCCTCCATATAGTACTATAAAATGATGCTGAAATCAATAACAATGAGTGAAACAGTAAAATTCACTCTAATATTGTTTTGTTGTACCTGTAAAAAAAATATTTATTGCAAAGAGATGGAAATGTTTATTTGGGAATTTTTTACTGTTGATCAGCAGATCATTATAAATTATGCAAATTGCCTCACCATCCTGTCTTCCACTCTGGCAGTGAACTATTCCTCTCCTTCCCTGTTCCTTCTCATTCTTCTCCTTCTTCTTTTCCTCTACTGTGCAATCATCAACAGTAAAACACCTGCAGTTTAAGATTATATGTGACTGCTAAACCTGTCATTTACTAAAAAAAAAGTCTGCATAGTCACTTGCCATCTAGATCGAATAGATTTACGTATATGTCTTTGAAAAAATTCCTCTTAACACAGAAAGTGAACATGCACTTTTTTGCTGAAAATATCTCAGAAGCTTACAGACTCCCAGGAATACTTGTCTGCGTACTCCTCTCCGGGAAAAAATAAAATCTTTTTTAGATCAAACAAAAGCTTGAATACTTTGCCTCCTAAAATATTAATCAATAAGATAACAGAAGAGGTACCATCATATAACTCGCTTAGAGTTTCTAGCCTAGTCAGACAAAGAAAAAGCAGATAAAGGTGCTGAGAGAATTGAATTCAATGGCATTCTGAAATAATATTAAAGCTGAATTCCACAAACTTTTTTTAATGATCAGCCTAGCTTAGCTATTTCTAAATACCCTCCGCTAACTCAAGTAATAACTAAGAATGTAGGATTAAGTAAGTCTTTAGTCAAAGTCAACATTGTTCTGCCTTTTGCTTCCAGAGACATATTTACTTTTGCTGTTAATGAATAGCTTTGTGTTATTTCCATTTAAATATTTTGTATTGCCTACTACTTCCAATTTTTATTTGCTCCTTGGAGCACTGCAATTTAACACTCAGGCTGGTACCTACATCTTTAGTATACCAGAATTTTTCAAAAACAGCCACTGAATAACACTGTTAATAACAAAAAAAAAAGCCTTCCTAAACAAAAAAAAAAACATACCTGAAGCCCCTTTCAAACAGTCACAGCTGATTTTAATATGCTACTTATCATAAAATTCATCTCCTGTCTGTTGTTCTGTCATTTAAAAGCAACAGGTACATGCCAGACTGACTAGCAAATTAGTCTTTCTAACCCTCCCAGTCCATGGAATCCCTTTGGAAAGAGCAGGGGGAATTTTGCTATAAGGATCAATAAAAAGGGTTTCCCTGGAGCATTAAATTTTTCATATTTTACCCTTACTAAATGAATTTTTTCTGCAGCGTTTTTTACATTGTAGGATTCCTATTTATTCTACTACTAACTTGTAAATTGTGGATTATATTGTGCATGCATGCAAACGATACTCTCACTTCCCATTCCTCAACAGTATGTGCAAATGCTTATGTTTCCAATGGCCCTCGCACAAATACTGCTTAAATTATAGTTTGTCTCTTTTTCCTTTCTGTGCTTATTATCTTTCTGAAGAAGGAATAGTAGTAATCTCTAGCCTTCAGTCACTAATTTTTACTAAAGCAAACTGGAATTTCCTTGTCTTTGAGACATACCAGAAGAAAAACTCATATACAACATGATATTGAAGAACTGCTTGTTTATGTCTGGAATTTTGTCTGATTTTCCAGTTACATTAGAATCATAGAACTTTTAGATTGGAAAAGACCTCTAAGATTGCTGAGTCCAACCATTAACTTAACACTGCCAAGCCCACCGCTAAACCATGTCCCTAAGCACCATATCTACATGTCTCTTAAATACCTTTAGGGATGGTGACTCCACAGCTTCCCTGAGCAGCCCTAATGAGTTTGGCCTAATGAGTGCTATAATGTTTCAGTGTTACCACTGTCCTCTCAAAAGGGGGCTTGTCTCAAAGAAGAAAAATATTACATTTAAGCTAGTGTAAACATTATCAATTGCTCTCTAAGTAAACCTAAAATACGGCATGGTTTTTATATCTTCTGCAACACCTGAGAAATTGAGCCCTGAGCAGAAGATTTCAGTCTGGAGAAGATCACTCAGTCCCCAGGGTCCCGGTGCAGTGGCTCAGCTGTTGCCATAACTACCCAGGAGGCAATGGCTGTCATAGCCTCTCTGCCCTGGGAAATCCCACCTGGTTTTGGACCTCTGCATTCTCTGGGTATGGTCCCTTGAGAGCACTTTCCCCTGGGTCAGCCTGACCTGGCATTGCAGCTATTGATCCGTTCTCTTTTCATGCACCTTTGGAAAGAGAAGAGATGCTACTGAAGCTCAAGTACTGCAAGTATTTGGTCCTTATTTTGTGTCCCCTGTTAAATACTTGACAGACTTTACAACAGTGTCCCAAATGGAAAAAGGAACATGGGCTTCAGTGACCCTTTTGGTCACTCCATGATTGAAAGGGACAAAAGCACAGGCATGACTTAGCCCTGAGCAGACTGTAACTTCTACAAAAGCTACTGACAGCAACCTTTGCTGACAAAACAAAGAACATCTTTTCTTTATTTTTTTTTAATAGTAAACTACTTCTCCTTTTTTCTGAATTATGCAATATGGATATTTTAGCTTGTGATGTTATTGACAGTTGTTGCTGCTATTTGTATAGCTGAGGGGCTTGGGGGACAAGAGTAGTGCGTTGTTTCCCAAGTATCATGAACCATTTAACGTGGTGACCAATTCAATAAAAAGCCCATAGCCTGATTTTCAGATTTGGGAAAGTTGATACAAATGCCAGATAAATTACCTACAGTTGTATATCACCCAAATTCTGAATACAGTCTCATATGTATAGACCCTGCCAGCTGCTGACTTGTTTTCACTGTTCACTATGCATCCCTCTGAACAAGACAGTCTTGTTACTTTACGTTTACAAACCTTGGTTTTGTTGCAGGTTGAAGTCAAGGACATAAAAAATAAAAATATAGTACCTAACTTTGCTTTGGACATAGTGAAGATTGCTTTAAAAAGAAGCTCACTCTGCATGTGTAAAAATGTAGATTGAACATGGTTTTACTTTGTACCTACCCAAATTTTAATACTGCTTTTATATTTTAAAACAAAAGAAATGTAGAAGTACAGGCCTTATGTAAAATTCATCACAAATCTTCAAAACAGGTTTGATATGGCCACTGACAAATGATGTCCCATAAAGCATTGCATGACTATTTTTAACATAACTCTCATACATTATTTCTCCTGCATTGATTGCCCAGCAATATGAACACGTTGAAATACAAGGCAATATAAGCAACTTTCGTATCTCTGTTTAATCTTTGCAGGACCTCTACTTCCTTGACTTCATGTGAGAAGCAAATAAAATAAGTGACACTGACAACTGGCACCATCCCAGCAGCTTAGCTCTAGCCATCTATTTGTATTAATCACTGCTGCATATACATGGTGAGTGGCTGCTAATTCAAAAGATCCCAAGCATTTCACTTGCTTCACTGTCTTCATCTTTACTTTTCCTTTACTAGGCAGTAATTTGCTTTTCAGTTGAGACCCTACAGGTTGAGCCCTCCCCCCACCAGTATCACCAGTCATTGTGGACTCTAACCCTCGGATTCTAATATTCTCACAATGCCTTTTTTCTTTGTGTTTTGTTGTTGTTGTTTTGTTTTCCTTTTTGTTTGTTTTTTTTGTTTGGGTTGGGTTTTTTTTAAAGACAAAATTCTATTTCTCTATCACTTTCATAAAAGCACAACTTTCTCTTACCTCCTACCTCTCTAAAGTTGTTTACTTTGGCTCCCTCCTCATTTTTCATCCGCTACCTCCACTTTTGTCCTTTGCTGTAAGACAGATGATAAACGGCCTGAGCATTGGCATGCGTTGGCTTTCATTCCCAGTTTTGCCCACTCACTTTCTGCATCACAGGATTATCCGGGATCTGAATAAAAGCTAGGATCTATCTCCCCCAGGCAATGAAAAGCCATATTAAAGCAGGCAGACCAGAATCCATTTGCAGGCACTGTGCTCAGTGCTGGCCCCAACTTGGTACAAATCGGGACAGGGAAGGAGTCAAAGTAGAACAGATAACAACGAGAAGAGCAAGTACTTCTCCCAGAAAAGCCTCTCTCCCCAGAAAAGGTCTCCCACCTGACTTCAGGTAACATGTCCGCACAGTGCACAGGGTGGCTTTGCTGCAGCTTGGGCTGTGTGTAAGGGCTAGAGAAGTTCACTGTCCTCTGTGCCTTTGCTGGTCATGTTGCCAGCATATGTTTACCCTTCTATAAAATGGAATAGTACCACACAAGATGTTGTGAGCCTTGGGGAAATAAGATACTTTTGAGATCCTGGGTGAAGGATACTGAAGGTGAATTCTTCACCAGGAAGTATATATTGACTAAAAGGGTTAAAAAGCATTCAAACTGGCTGTCCAGAGAAGTGATATAGCACTTAGTGCTATGGTTTAGTTAACATGGTGGCCAAAGGTTGGTCTAGATGAACTTGGTTCTTTTCCAGCCTTGATGATTCTAACTTGGTGTCAGCTCTGTTTTCATTTCAGACTTTGCACCTGCACTTTTTTCCAGAATTACTGTCATTGTCATCCTGTTTGTGGATAATGGGAAGCGCCTCTTCAACCTTCCCAGTTACCTGCATTGCAAGGGCAAATTAGAAAATATTGCCACTTGCAAGCCCGAGCACTCAGCGCGAGCTCCCAACCCCCCAAAATGACTCAGTGGATCCCAGCCTACTTCCTGCTGTGTAAACAGGGGGGACGCGCAAGGACAGGCAGGATGCTCACAGCCACCGACTCTCATTTGTACTTGGAGCCAAGACTGGCACAAAGCACTGCTGCACCTCGCTCCACGGGGCTCCTGGGAACGGGGAGAGGGCCCAGCGCCGGGCAGCCAGCCGGGCGGGGCCCGCAGGAAGCCAGAGGGGCAGCGCTGCCGTCCCGCTCCCGGGCCGTGGGGCAGCGCTGGAGTCCCGTCCCGGTGCCCGGCCGTGGGGCAGCGCTGGAGTCCCGTCCCGGTGCCCGGCCGTGGGGCAGCGCTGGAGTCCCGTCCCGGTGCCCGGCCGTGGGGCAGCGCTCCGCTCCCCTGCGCTCGCTCGCTAGCCCGCCCGCCCGCCCGCCGGGCTCCCCGGCCTCTGGCACCCCCCGCCGCCCCCCTCCCGGCCCGCTCCACCACTCGCTCCCGTGCCCGGGAAGTCCCGCCCCGCTCGGGGCGGTCGCGGCTCCCGGCCAGCCGGGGCCCTGCCGGGGTGCGGTGCTGCCGGCGGAGGCTCCTGCTTGTGGAGGCTCCTGCCTGTGGAGGCTCTTGCCTGTGGGGTGAGCGGCGGGCTTCGTGACCTCCCGCGGCCCAGAGCCGCCTCCCGGGCGCGCCCTTGTTGCCCTCGGCCCGACAAGGCGCCCGGGCCGGGAAACTTCTCCGGAGTTGAGGGGCGAGAGCGGCTTTCTAGCCCTGCGCTACCGGCCCAGGAGAGCCGGGGCGGGAGAGCGGGAAGGGCTGGCGGTGCCGCGGGGCTGGGCAGCGCAGGGGCGGGTGCCGGGGCTCGGGGCCGCCGCTCGGTGCGGGCCAGGGCTGTGGCGGGGCCCGGCCCAGCCCCGGCGGAGGGGGCGGCTGCGGGACGAGGGGCAGAGCGTGGCCGGGACAGGGCGCTGAGTCAGGAGTGTAAGGGGATGAACACCTCCTTCTCTCTGGAAAATCGTTTCACAGGACCAGATGACAGTTACCAGCAGAGTAACCTTCGAGCTCAGGCGGCTTAACTGTGTGAGTGCAGCTACACTGCTATTTTTACCGCTGATTTTTAATATTTGTACTGTCATAACAAGTTAAATATTGGAACTACGTCCCCTCTAGTACTTCCCTCCCGACAGTCCCCGAGGGTGGCTCTGGGAAGGAACAAATGCCTCAATCCAAAACTGGGACCTTCAGAGCCTGCCTGCAGTTCGCTCTCCATCTGGAAGCACCCGTATCCCTGTGCAAGATGCTTCCAGAGTTGCTTAAGCTTGACAAGGCTCAACGGCAAAGCGCCAGACTTGCCTCTGAGCCTTGTTGGGATTCACACACTATGCATGTTCTCCGTGGCCTGGGGCGCACTGCCCTTTACAGGACACACAGCTGTGGCAGACTCTGCTCTCTCCTCCTTTTGCATGGGTTTGGTGAGCGCGGAGGGGAGCGCAAGTTCTGAACGAGGGAGGTTTAGGTCCCCCTGCCAAGTCTGCTTCAGTACTGTAGCCAAGCCGCTGCTGGGCAGTCACCTTGTGTGTTTGGCAACCCCTCTGCAGCAGGTCTTGATGAATTTGACCTCAAGTTGAAGCATACAAGTCCTATTTGTGAGGAACTCAGACGAACCTAGCAAGTATTTGAATGTATATATGATCTCTAAGATACTTGTAAAAATAATTATTCTTTTTAGGTGTCTGTTGTTAGGGATGGTATCTTCTGTATGCTAGAGGCTTGTCATAGCTGTTGAACGAAACAAATTTTTAGCTAGAGGTCACTTGCATTTGGGAAATTTTGTTTTACTTGTTTGGAATTCCCTTCTGCTTTGTGTTAAATACATTATTCAATGTTCTCTGTTGTCATATGTTCTGTAGTGTTTAAAGGTTGTTGCCTTCTTTGTGCTGGAGGCTGTTTCAGTGATGGGTGAAGTGATGCTTCTAATAGGTAGTTTTGTATCATTTTGTCAGGTACTTTGGGATTGTTTTATGAAAGAGTACATAAATGTCATTTATTATTATGAATGCCTCTCATGGTTTGGAATTTAACAGACATAATATTTGCCATTATGTCACCATCGTCACATTCATTTTTGTGGTTGTAATCAAAGATGGCAATAATGGCATTCAGATGCTTAATTATATTTTATGTAGGTGACCAGTTCTAACTTATTAAATTAATGCATGGTGGAGCAGGAACAAGTGTCACTGCTTCCCTCTGTGGTTAGGGAGCCATCAGCTTGCTTCTCACACATAAAAATCAGTATATAGTGAAGCATATGGCACCAGTGAGTTCTGTGTTTATTAAAGGACTATTTCTCTGAACATTCTGTGAATTTTGTTCCTTATTTCACTTGATGTAGATCTAAAATGTTTTTCCCACCTTTCAAAACTTGAAATACTGAACAAGCTGAAACGAAGACTTCTTAAGGTTCATAAAAACAGTGAGACTTCTACTTTCATCAGACTGGCCACCTGTCTGGTAGGGGGAGAATAGAAATCTGTCTAAACTGTGGAAACCTAAGGTTCAAGTCCCTAGTTTGATTCAGAGCAGTTTTGAACATTTTTACATTTTCTGTATTTCTGGGTAACTGGATTGCTAGCTATATTGGAAAGAGAAGGGAGTGTCCCATCTCCCTAGTTCTAAGTTACATCTGCTCAAAAGTGGTAGGGTAGGTTTTCTTCTTTAATGTCATTTTCTGGTCACAAACTAGAAAGCTTCCTCAGAATTTTCTAAGGAGTGGCCATGTCTTTGGTCTGATAGTAATATATACGTGGATAATAATCCAAGAAAAGCATTTTATCCTAGCAACAGCTGGGATATTTTTTACAAGTATTTAACTACTTGGATAAGATGGAAGCAAGAAGAAAGGCCACCACCATCATCCCACATATGACAGCTTCAAGTAAATCACAATTTTTAACTTGGATGTCAGAGACCTGTAGAATCACTCTTCTCAAAGACACTCTGAAGCCCTAGTTTTGTTGAGCCAAAGCCACAGGGTTTTTCCTGAACTAATTTCTGTGGAGGAGGGGGGACCAAAGAAGAATGGTACTGCTGAACTACTCTCCCTTTTTCTGCTCTTTCAGCATCTTACCTCAAAGTGTAAAAGGAGAATTGTTTTATCCTACAGTTGTCTTTGCCTTGTCCAGTGTCACTGCAGTGAGGATTATTCACCCAATTAAAGGAATTTGACTCTTTTCCTTGGTTTGATTTGTGTACCTTCTGGCTGATGGGTCATTTTCAGATGGCTCTGGAAATGTTCGACTGGTTTTAATGCTTGAACTCTGGTGGTTTGTAAAGTTTATTGCAGGACTTTGTTCTTGGTTATTCACTTTAGACTGGGTAGCAAGGATTTTTTTAATTGTGTGTGTTGGTTGTTCCTGCTATTCCACTGCTGTACCCCGTTGGGGGTAAGAACTTAAAAACAGCAGGAGTTGTGCAAGCAACAGGTTGTTGACTTTGACCACTGACAAAGCATGCAGACTCTGTAAAGGCAGTCTCTAAGTTAAAAGATACTCATTAAGTTACACACATCACCTTTACATTTTCCCTTGACTCACATTAACTTTTCTTTTGTGGGCTAGTTTCTTGTTGGAGCAGAAGCAGACCTTGAGAAGGGCGTTTAGGTTCCATTTCCTTATGCAGCCATAAAGAACAATAGCAGTAGAAACTCTGAGGCTTTTCTGAGGATGTTTTTTTTCCAGTAGGTCTTCAGATTGGTTGCAAGTTTTGTGATGTAGTTGTTTGCAGTAGTGGGACATTGAGTTTAGTTCTGTGCATCTAAGCTTGTCACTCACTAGTAAAGAAGGTGGTTTTCTGAAAGTCTCTGGTTATCTCAGTTGCTGCAATCTGCAATATTGAATGAAACACTGAACTCAATCCCCATGCTCTTTTCCACCTTCACAGGTCTCAGTGGATCAGTGACTGGTATGTTCTGTTGCAAAGCTGACCTTGAGGTTCATTCATATGAATTTGCTAGCTAGTAATGTCCAGTCTTGATCAGGAGGTAGTAACGCACATCAGTCATCCATTGCTTAGAGATTTGTGTGGTGAGAAGGGTGATACCTGTTCTTTGGTGTCTTAGACCTCCATCCCTTTTCTCCTTATTTCTGCATGTTAAGATCATAGAGGGATTTTATGTGGCTCTTGGTGATAGGGCTGTACAACTGAATGATAATGCTCCACCCAACATGCTTACTGAAATGTTTAAGCTCACATGAAAATCTGTGTATGTGACCTTAAGTAGAGACGAAACTAATGAAAGTCAATGAGAATAACAGCAAGAGTAGTGTTTGATGTATACTGGTTTCAAATTTGGAATTTAGAGGGAATGAAGACTGGATATCCATTTCTGAAAAGCACAGGCTTTTTCCTACTTCCTGTTGTCCTAGCAGGAAAGAGCATATGTGCTTGTAGCCCAGAACCCACGAGAAGCAAATATGATTCCATTTAGTCTTAAGAATACAAATGTATGTATCAACATGCAGGACATAGCCCATATTTGCATATAGCATAATGTGACTTCAGTTCTGATTTTTGGCCTAAAAACACTATGTGTGCATGTAAAATATAATTAATGTAATGTTTGACCCTGGAGGAGAATTTTTATCTGACCTTTTATTGAGAGTAATTTTGGAAGCTGCCCAAAATGTAAAATCCCCTGAAGTTCTTCTAAAGGAGATGTTAATGAAAAAACACTTACGGGTATGCTGGTCTCTCTGAGGAAGAGAAACTTCAATGTGACTTTGCTCAGAGAAGCCTAGATTTTGAGACTGTTATCTGCACAGAAATAAGGTAAAATAGAAGTCTGACTGTTCTAGTCACAACAGCTAAACTTTAACCAAATTGAAAAATTGCTCATGGTACAAAGTGGCTTAGATTCTGCTTCTTGGGGCAAATCACTATTGGCATACATGGTCATATGCTGAGCACATGTGCTTGCTTTGATCCAAAGGTTTGGCCTCTGTACTGCGAGGTCAGTATGAGGGGCTGCACTTGT